GGGACTCCAGGATCATGACCTGAGCCGAAGGCAGTCGCTTAACCAACTGAGCCACCCAGGCGCCCGGGAGGGACAATTTTTGAAAATGATAAATAGTGATTGAAAATTTCTATAAACTAATGGTAGTCTAGTTCACTCTCCTTACAGGAGTAAGCTTGTAAAATAATTACAGTTAAGATATCAAGAGATTGAGACACTGATTGGTACATAATTGCAAACAACACATTGGCGTAGCGGACAGTATCTTTTTCTTTCCAGCATCAAGTAATATTAAATCTAAATCACCCCCAGGCATATGGTTTTCAATCCGGTGCTTAAGTATCTTCCAAGAAAGAGATTCCATAAATTCCCCTTATAACTAACCAGTCCCCACAATCAGCAAGTTCTTTTCTCTGTGACCTAAATCCTTTTTGCTACCATTTAAACTCATTTCCTCATGTTCTGCCCTCAAGAGAGATAAAGAACAGCTGTCTGCTCTTCTTTATAATAATCCTCTTTGGGTGATATTTGCAAACTTTCTCCTTTGGGCTAAATGTTTGAGATTCCTCTCACCTTTCTTTAAAATTCTTGTTGTTGTTTCCCCATAGAGCCTCTCTGTTCACATCTTTCTGTGATAAAGTTTCTTCCCCACGACCTGCCATGCTGAAAAACACAGAGATAAGAATCCAGTTGTAAAGTCGACTGCCAAAGGTGGCAGGAAATCAGATTTGGACAACTCCATGTCAAGCAAAAGAAATAAAACATTATCCCTTAAGAAATATATTTTTCTATTTCTGAAAGCATCTTTGGCAATAGCTCAGCTCAGCCACAGGCGAATATGTGAGCTGGGTCAAATTAGTTCTAACACACCCTCCTCCAAATGCCTCTTCCCTTACTACCCTTCCTCCCCATATCTCTCTTCCTCAGTGGGGTGTGAAATTTTAGGAGCAAAGTGTGAAGACTGAACACATTTCTTCCGATGGCCAACTATGATGTTTATGAGCAGCAAGGATCCTTCCTTGGACTCCTTATATTTGCTAAGTGGGGCTACTCTGCTTAGTCCTGTGGTCCTCGCTGCCCATCTTCTCCAGAAGAAGGGTGGTTGTGTTTGTCACCCAAGGGATGTGTTAGAGAAAGTCAGTGCTCCAGGAAATGAGAGGTCACCGTGATAGCAGAATACCAAAGGGCCCAGCTCAGAAAACCCAGGGGAACTCCACTGGCTTTTTAAACTTTGTTTCTCATGGTGACTTTTTCTGTAGCACCACCTCCATCAGACAATGAAAAACTTTGTCTTAATTTCTGAGAAGGTAAAAGTTTTTAATAACTTGGTTATATTGAGAAATCTGATGTCTTACATGTGAAAACAGCCACCACGGTAGAAGAGGGTATTTTCCGTATTTCTGGGCAGATTCTCAGATAAAGATTCTCCTTGGCTTGGCACATTATTGGCTCAAAGTCAGGAGATTATTTTTTTTCCTAATTTTTTTCCCCTCAAGTGTAGTTGCCACACAGTGTTACGTTAGTTGCAGGTGTCCAACATAGTGATTCCTCAAGTTTATACATTCTGCAACGTTCACTGCAAGTGTAGCTACCATCTGTCAGCATATAATGCTGTTTCAAAGTCAGTAGATTATTAGGTTAAATTGACTTGTACACCATGGTGAAATGCATCCTGCCATCTTGAGTATAGGGGGCTTCTTTGTTTCGAGCTTTCATTTTGGACAGTGTTTTGCATTAGCACCAGAGTTTCCAAAACTGGAAGTTGAAAGACCTTTTTAATAGGCACTGATTAAAATAAACTGGCATGGCAACAAATTGTATTTGGCAAATAGACATCAGAAAGCAAATATTCAGACTTCCTGGGCAGGGAGTAGAACTGGCACCTTTCCTGACTCAGAATAATCAAGCACATGTCCAGTTCTGGATGAGACGCTTGTTCATTGTCGACAAATGAGGCAAGTCCATCTTGCGTTAGCTGCTATCAGGCTGCACAAATGAAGTCCAGGTGAGCCAAAAGGAGAGGTGAAGTGTCGATTCCTCCTGCTTTTCTGGTATATCCTCTATTTAAATGGGGAAAAGATGTTTTTAAAATGTGCTTCACGCACAGCCACATTCGTCCTTCTAATTGATAACATAAGGATCCAGCTGGGTGTGGATCAACACGTGGGTTTAAGGGAGCTGAATTTTTAAAATATATCACGAGTCGTTCAGGTCTCTGTAGGCTTTTGGTTTTTTTTGTTTCTGGGTTTTTGTTTTGGTTTGGTTTTTGACATCAGAATAGCTAAGAGATTTGATTTCCTTCTAGAAATAAGCTCCCACTCTGGGGAAAGTGAATTTCTGGCAGAAAAGTCACTGTCAATAAGGCAAATTTCCCCATCTTTTATTACATACATCCATGCGGGGTAGAGGGCAATGCTGGGGAGGGGCCAAAATATAGATTGCCTTAAAAAAAAAAAAAACACCCAAGAAGAGTGAAAATACAGTTTCTCTGCCTCTGAGGCATATTGACCCCCTATCCCCTCTCTATCCCACCAATCCCAGAAGAAAAGATAATCAGAGGAAATCCAGCACGGGCCAAATAATGCAGCGAGCATATAAATGCCGTGAGGTTGATGCCAGCATGTGTGTGGTAGTTGTGTGGTTTATGAAATGGGTGACAGGGAAAGCTGTAACCCGACGCTAGGGCACGAGCCGGTTCTACATTTCGCAGAGCTGCTTTTTTGGCAGAGTCTTTTGAGGGGCCCCAGCAAGGGAATGGAAGTAACGGGCTAAGATCCTGCCCTTGAAGCGTAGAGCCTTTGCTCTGTGAGTTTTGTTTTAATGAAGTGGCCAGAGGGTTGCTTATCTCTCTGGCTGATAGCTGTGTATTTCAGCATGACAGGAAAGAGGAGGCTCATTCATCAAGAGACCTGGCCCTCTGGGGCTTCCCACATTGGGGGAGGAGGAGCGCCAGGAGACCGCTGACCAGAAGTTTATTAAGTTTATGCTGTGACTTTTCAGAGAACATGCAGTGTTTTTCGTTGGAGCGCTGATCACTTTTCCCTACGCAGAGCCATTTTTTGAGGGCTGCCCTGAGACCATTTTCGCTGAAGAAAAGACTTCGCTCTAGGGCCTGTTGCAGTGCTAAATGCAAACCATGTGTGTGACCCCAGGGGTTCCTCCTCCTCCAAAGCACTGCACATTTGGCACAAGGAATGGGCTTCGTTAAAATGCAGTGGGATGTGTCATGAAAAGTGGGATGCTTCATGTGTTAGGAGATACTCTCGCTGCACCCCCAGCGAACTGCAGGATGGAGGAGCTGGTTCTCTGGCAGCCACGCTCCCCGCGTGCGATCAGCTCAGCTCCTCCCCCGCAAAGATTTTTCTGGGAGCAGGCTTGCCCTAGAGTCCATTTCTCAGGTGAGTTGTGGGCTTGGGGCACACAGCTCTCTGCTACAGCTCCAGCAAAGTCGAGGCTCACCACCCCCATTTTGAGCAAGTCGATTCAGAAAAAAGCCCCGCGAGCGGCCAGGCCTCTCTCGCCACGGTGTAAATGTGTCACCCTGCAGACCTCTCCGTGCGAAGAGGCAGGCGGTGTTTCCTGAGTCCGGGGCCCCAGAGCACACACTGCGTAGTGCACACAGTACACGTGGTGGTGGTTCCTTCACGGGGCCGAGGCACCGACATCCGGAGGCTTCAGTGGCCTCTGTCGGGTCTTAGTCGCTAAAACTGCCCATCAGTCAGCTTGAAAGCCCTTCTCTTCTCGCCACGCAAGAGGCTTTAAAAACACCAACACACCGAAGGCCTTTCTGTGGGAGGCCCGGTCGGCTTGCTTCCGCCCGTGGCGCCCAGAGAAACAGCGGATGAAACGGGCGGACGGGGAAACGGTCCGGTCGGGGATGCACACACGTCACACGCGTCTTCCTTTGTCCCTTTCCCTCCTTCCCCGCAGGGGAGACGGCGGGCAGGCAGCAAGTCCCCACGACGCCGCCGGCCTCGGAGAACAGCAGTGCGGCGCCCAGCATCGGCAGCACGCAGAGCACGCCCTGCTCCAGCAGCAGCGCCGCCTAGCCGTGGCGCCGCCAGCGCCAGCCCGG